GCATGCCACCCCTGAAATCTCATGGAGGGCCTGGCATCTCCCCACTTGACAGAAGAGGAAGCCAGGCCTCACAGAGATCCAGCCCCTAGGCCAGAGTCACACCACCTAAGCTAGGTGGGGGCAGGATTCTGATCAATCACAAATTGGTCAGAAGCCAGAACTCAAACTCTTAAGAAGGTGACATTTCTCCTTTAAGTAAGATCTTGAAAGGTGCACAGAGAAGCCCTTGACTCCACAACTCAAAGTTAATGGCTGAGTGGTAGAGCAGCCAACACTGAGAACTCAGGAAATACTGTAGTTTTGTTTTTGTTTTTGTTTTCAGTTTCACTGAATTACCTAGAACTCTGTGTTCTTCCTCTCCCACTCCACCCAGGAAAACCTTCCTTTTCAATTGCATAACAGGTCTCAGAATGTCTGGAGGGAGGGCAAAAATAAGAGTAAAGTCAAATAATGCATCTTTACTTTTTAAAAATGGTTTTAAAATCCTTCTGTGGTTAGGGCAGAAATCTGTCCTATGGTGCCTGGGGGAAGGGTGCTAAATTCAAAGTAAGCCAAGATATAGGGGTCCTTCTGTAATAGGGACAGGTCACAAGGCACACAGGAGGGTAGACAAGTGTGGAGGGGACAAAAAAGCAGGGCTGGGGCAGGGAACAAAGGTAAGCACTAGACCCCAGAAAACACCTGCTACAGACAGCCCCCTGGGGCCCCCACCCCTTGCCCCCACTCAAGCGGGTCAGGGAGGTGCTCACCCGCCCACAAGTGGCCCTTCCACCCTTCCTCCAGCCTTGTAGCATGTCACATGGTAGAACACAGAGCTTCCTGCTATCCTCAGCCCACAGCATGATCTGGAATCCTTTATCTGCAACCTTCCAAGCAGAGAAAGTTCCCCAGCCACAAGTCCTGAACTCCTCCTCATGCACAGTTCAGCCAAGAATAGAGGGAAATGGAACCCATTATTCTCATTCTGAATGGCTGGGAAATGGCTTTTGCTTTTCAACATGAAATGTGCCTAAAAATAAGCTGTGAGTTTCAACCAGAGGTTGAAAATAGCTCTGCAGTGAACAGAGCTCTTTTCAGAGTAGGCTCAAGGACAGCCTTAGTTCCAAGATTGGAGATCTGAAAATCCAAAATGCTGCAGTCAGGAAGGGATTATGGGCAAGGGGTTTTCCAGGATAGAGGGACTGCGACGGGCTGATAGGGCTGCTCTTGCTAATAGGTATGTAGAGAAGGGACCCAAACAGTGTCTGCCCTTCTGGCTTTGGACTGCCATGCTGGAACAGACATATGATCAGGTATTTAACATCCACATCCACACCTATGACCCAGGACTTCATAGAATCCCCTAATGCCCAAAAGCACTTCATGCTGTTTTAGCACCTGCGGCCCAAAGTGTAAATACAGCTGAAGGGGGCACAAGGTCATCAGATTCCCGAGTTCCTGAGGCATGGTTGTGTGCTCATGGGCTCTGAGAAGTCAAGCCACCCTGGTCAGCCACCAAACCTCTCGGATATTTCTAAGCCAGGGAGGCCTTTTGGTAGGAATGGCAGGAATACACTCCAATTTTAAGTAAAGAAAACCAAGTTTCTAACAACAAAGTCTTTTTTTGCTGTTTGCCATTATCCCTAGAAGAGTCTAAAATTTAAAAAGCCAAATAACATTCCCATAAAATGGGCTCCTGCTAAAAACCCAAGCTGAGAAATCTGGGCCACAGCCATCAGTACAGCCCCAGATCTGCCCCAACTGAGCAGAGTGTTCACACAGGGCTGCTGAAACTGGCCTTCCCGAGCTCCCTCTCCATACTTATCCACTTCCCCCTGCTCTTCCTGTTCCTCCCACCCCTTCCCTGTACTCTTTCTAGGACAGCCCCACTCCCTCAAACCTCCCGTTGCTAAGTCAACTTCCTTTGTTGTTCTTCTTTTCTTTCTTCCTCTTCCTCTTCTTTTTTCAGTACTGGGAATTGAACCCAAGGTTTTCACACTGAGCTACATTCCCAGCCCTTTTTCTTTCTTTTTTTCTTTTTTCTTTTTATTGAGTTTATTGGTACATTCTAGGTATACAGTACAGTTACATTCATTACTGGGATCTTGTACCTTTACATGACAGGTCTTGGTTCTCAATTTCTCCCCTTGTCCCTGCCCTCTCCCAGCCCTTTTTCATTTTGAGACAGGGTCTCACTAAGTCTTTAATTGCCCAGGTAGGGCTGAAACTTGCAAATCCTCTTGCCTCTGCCTTTCAGAGTGCTGAGATTACAGGTGTGCGCCACCACATCTGGCTTTCTGGGCTCACCCCTGAGGACCTATGATAATGTCTGAAGATATCTGTGGTCAATCCTGCTGCAGAGGTGGGGTGGGATGCTATTGGCATCTAGAGGGTAAAAGCCAGGGAGGCTACTGGACCTCCTACAGTGCACAGAACAGCTGTCACAGCAAAGAATTATCTGGTCCAAAATATGAACACTGCTGAAGTTGAGCAGCCCTGGGCTACTAGAAGGAAAGAATGTGGCCCGAGCTGGAGGGCAGGGGCTTGTCAGACTCATAGTTCATGGGATATGGCTGTGCTACTGGGCTCCCCTGGAGGAGCTGGGACACCTTGGTCAGTCAGGGAATCCGTGCCAGGGAAAGTCAGACGAAAAAGGCAAGATCACACTCAGCTTCCCTTCCTATATCAGGAGAAAATCTAACCAATGAACAGTGTTATAAAAACCATCTCTCCCCAGTTTGGGAAAACGAAAAAGTTCTGGAGATGGATAGTACTAGTTGCATAACAGTATAAATATACTCAAAATATAAATTAAAAAATAAATATACTCAAAAGCAAACAAACAAGCTGGTGTAGTGGTGCACACCTATAATCCCAGCACTCAGGAGGCTGAGGCAGGAGGATCGCTGTGAGTTCGAGACCAGCCTGGGCTACATAGTGAGTTCCAGGTCAGTCTCAACTACATAGTGAGACCCTGTCTCAAGAAACCAAAAACCAAACAAACAAAGTACTAGCGAGCAGTACACTTAACAATGGCTTAAATGGTCAATTTTACAGTATGTATATGTATATAATCACCCACTAATACTCTTCTCCCTTTCAGAGAAGAGTATTGTGGAGTGTGTTGGGCAAGGGCTTGTCTAGAGGAGATTCACGGGGGCTCACAACAAACAAACAAAAAGCTCTAATCTTAACCAACAATAACTGTAAGATTAGCAAATCACTTCAGGGGCAACAGCTGACGTTAAACACGGGGTCCTCAGAGCCTGCCTATGGGGTTACTTGGGACCCTCTGAAGAAATGAAGGCCACACAGCCAGGATCAGACCTGGTTCTGACTCTAGGGCCCATATTCTTTTTAATAAATTTTATTTTATCCCATTCCCCCTTTCCCCTCCTAACCCAAAAGCTTTGTTCCCATTTATTCAGAGCCCACATTCTGTCTCCTAGTTCAGTCACACATAAGGATGCTCAGTGGGCAGAGCTGTGACAACAGTGCAGATATGGGCCTAAAAAGTAGTTTGGGAACAATTGGTCTAATTTCTCCATGCCCTGTCCTGTCAGGCTCACTTCTTCCACCCCACATGACTTCATTCCAGATTCTCAGGCCTTCAAGTACTAGGAAGCAAAAGTGCCTCATCTCTGAGCCAAGACTAAAGAAGCAAGGAGTGACTCGTACGAGTATTTTCCTAATAACTACAAGAAAAGGAACAAGGGATTCACCCTAGGTGGTGGATACTAACCATTCTCAGGAGGCAAATGGCAGTGCCATCCTAGGATGAGCAAGAGCTGCCAGGCAGCCATGCTACCTGCAGTTATCTACTCACTCTGATAAGAATGAACAGGGCAGTATGTACAAAAGGCCTTGGCTGTTCCTGGCTCAACTTAAGTGCCCGATAGGAGTCATAACAGAGGGCAGGGACTCCAAACTTGCCATTGGAAAAGCCCTTCTAGATGGAAGATGAACTGACAGCAAGCAGACCATCATGGAACCCAGCCATACAAACCCAAAAGCTGAGGACTGGCCATTCACTAGCAAATACTGAGGGAGAACAAACCTCTCAGCTGCAGTGGCCAGCTGAGAAGGTGATCTTTGGAGGAGAACTGTTAAACCCAAACTGTCCTATTCCTAGAGGCAGCCACTACACAAAGAATGGCCTGTTTGTATGCAATGGGGAGGCATCCATCTGCTGGAGTGACAGAAAACCTCAGGGTGGACTCAGAAGGCTTTTTGGTTCTATTCTGGGCCCTAGCCTTGACTTGCTGGGGGGCTTGGGTAAGCCACTTCCTGTTGATTGTGCCAGTTTCCACCTGTGGGGGAAGCTACGATGCCTCAAAGGTCCACAGAAGAGAGATTTAAACAACCTGTGCCTATAGAAGCTTAAAATCCTTGGGGTTCTATAACTTTTGCTTTAACATTTATTTCAGCCAAAAAATGATTATGACCTAAATTAATGAGACTATAAAAATTACCAATTTTCCCAAAAATGTGTCCAAAATATTAGTTTTAATTCTGGAACATTAACTGCCCTTTTATCAACAAAGGTACTAAAACTGGTTCATGGGTGAGGAACTTCCTCCCCGTGGTTAAAAAAAGAAGTGAAAACAACAGGACTGGGGCCTTTCCCATTTGTTCCAGCAGTGACTATGGGCCCTGAGTCCTCTAGGAACTCCACACTTTGGTCCTGTGGCCCAAGGCTTGGCATGGGTCAGCTCCTTTGTCTCTGTGGGCCTAAATCCAGCAGCAATACATACCATGGAAACATTCTCCATCCAAGCAGCCTGGGGGCCTGGCACCTGGGAGCTGCTCCTCCAGCCCTTTCCATTTCATTTGTTCACTTCAGATTGGAATCTAGCACCGTAAGTGCCACAGTATTATTTGATAGGTGACAAGATCTTAGCAGGGTCCCTTTCCCAAAATCAACCTAAGCTTCTACCCCTCATCATTTCTGAGCACAGTGCTGCTTACCATGACCCAGCCCATGGTCACAAGGCCCAGAACACACCTGTCAAGCTACTTACCAGATTCCCTGCTGAGGTGGCCACTGTGGCTGAGGGCCTTGGTATTTTTATTACTTCTCCATAATCAACAACATCAAAGTTACTCTTCCAAACCATTACCTGCCAAGATCAAGAAGCACATAGAATGAGGGGGAGAAAAACACCGTGCCAGCTTCTTTCACTTGAGAAAATAGGCCCAGGGCCCATCCCCAAACTTTAGTCATGGTGGACCCCTCACTCCTGGCATTCCAATTCAACTACAGGACCTGTCCCACCTTCCCAAGGAGCAGGCTTTTGGCACAAGCCTCGAGAGGACCTGGATGAGCCACCAGAACAGAGTGTCACTGTGCTGGACCCCAGGCCGTGGCACTTGCTGGTCCTTCTGCCTCAGATATCACAGGATCAGTCTTAGCATCAGACTCAGAAGGTATTTATTTGTTCTTGGTCCTTGTTTAACATCTATCCCCTCACTAAAATGGAAGCTCTTGAGGGAGGTGGTCTGTCCTGGCACACGGGTTTAGTGGTGAAGACACTGTGGGCCCTAGACAGTGGACTCAGTCTGTGCTTCGGAGCCCTCCTCCAGGAAAGGAGGATGATCACAGTTCTTGCTTCCCAGAGCTGCTGGGGCCCTCATACAACACAGCTTGGCACACTGGCAACCAGGGAGTGCTTGGTAATGCTCTGGTTATCCCAAGGCCAAGCTCAGCCATAAAAATCTCACCCCACTCTGAGTATCTTCCTCTAAAAAGGATTCTGCCCTGCTTCTACTCTACAAAATTGGAAGAAGCTGCCCTGCTGGGGAACAAGAGCACTCCCTGCTGGATGCTGTTGGCCACGAGCAGCTGGGTGCTTCTAGGACTACTTCCAGGGTTGGGCTTCACAACAGGAAATACGGAGCATGGTCAGCAGAGGTCACAGTAAACTACCACATCCACACAAAGTGGATGCTCAACATGCCTTAGGCATCATCCCTGTCAAGACACTGCTGCAAGCCTGGCTCTACAAGAGGCCCCTCACCACTCCTTCCCTGAGCAGCATCACTGTTTACTTCGTCCACAGAGATGGGCACAAGTGGGTCTCTCATTCATCACTTTACAGTCAAAACATTCACAGGCACACACCTTTGTATAGAATCCTTGTATGACTGTACAGACCTAACTGGAGAATAAATTCCTAGGAGCAGAGTGACAAGCACAAATATGAAGAGATAGTACCAAATGCTACTCCAAAGAGCTTTCAAGAAGACTTTTGAAAGGCAGTCAGGGGAGCCAAGTGCATTGGTGCACACCTATAATCTTAGCAAATAAAAAGTTTTAAAAAGGGATGTGTAGCACTCAGGAGGCTGAGGTAGGAGGATCACTGCAAATTCAAGGCCAGCCTGGGCTATACAGTGAGTTCAAGGCCAGTCTGAACTCACAGTGAGATCTGCCTCAAAAAACAAAAAGGGCTGGGTAAACCCGGTGTAGTGGTGCAGACCTCTAATCCCAGCATTCTGGTATCCTGAGGTAGAAGAATCACAAGTTCAAACCAGCTTGGGCAACTTAGTGAGACGCTGTCTCAAAATTTAAACACACACACACACACACACCCACACACACAATGGGCTGGAGCTATAGCTAAGTGTGAAGATCTTGAAAAAAAGCTGGAGATATAGCTCAAAGTACAGCACCCTTGGATTCCATCCCCAACATCAATCAATCAATCCATCCATCCATCCATCCAGGCAGCCAGAGAGCTTATAGCCTGGCTGCTTGAGGAAGGGTTAGAGCAAGTGTAAACCCTACTTTCCACCAGACACTTGGCTGCAAATTTATTTTACCATAACTCTATTTACTGTTTGTGTCTACTGTAGCAGTTCCTGTGTCTTTTAAGCAACAAGCCAGGTCTCCAGTCAGGGAAGCTTGGGGTACCCTTCTGCCTTCTACCTCCTTCGGCTGGCAGCACTAGGCTATGGCCAAGGAGCACCTTACAACCCTCTGCCTTAGTGGCAGACTCCAAAACCAAATCATTACATTTACCTGGGCAGGGCTCACGAAGGGCCAGTGGGACTGCCTGAGCTAAGATGCCTGAGCCATGGGGCTTGGCACTCAGGGCATGAATGTTCTCAGCAACCCAGCAGGTCAACAGTGGCCCACTGCAGCTGTCCTTTCCTCTCTTCCCCAAGAGAATGCAGTTATCTGGACAAGAAGCACTGTGCAGATAGTCTGAGGAGCAACTATAGGACTATAGGCAGGCAGACTTCTCAGTGTTCCTGGCCTCACCAGTGCTGGGCTCTGGGCTAGATCCTAGTGGCAGGGTGCCCACCAAGAGACAGGTCATTGGCATTTAGCAGCCTGGGCAGAGGGTGCCAGGGTTGACAGGCTGAAGCCTTAACACACAGGGTGAAGAAGTGGGAGAGGAAACCTCAAAATGCCCTCTCTCTGCAGCTAAGGATACTGAAAATGTTGCCCCCTCCAACAGTACATAAAGGACAAAGGACTGGGCTGGGAGCAAAGGGCAGCAGACCATGGGTCAGAGGCTCCCAAGGCAGAGGCATGGCTCCAAAGTCAAGTTCAGTGTTATTACAGCTCTGCTATCTACTGGGATTCAGTTTCCTCATCTATAGAATGAGATGAGAGGTCTTGACCCATAGCGCTATATAGTGAGGACTAAATGAGGTATGATGGTCTTTTCATGCTAACTATATTATCAGGCCTATAGTAAGTAGCCAATAACTCTTATCTATTGGTATACTAAGGTGATCAAAATATATGGTGAATGTTTAAATTAAACACCAGTAAAAAGAACACTGCTGGCTGGGTGTGGTGGTGAACATCTGTAATCCCAACACTCAGGAGGTCAAGGCAGGAGGATCACTGTGAGCGTGGTCAGCCTGAAGTACATGGTGAGACACTGTCTCTAAATAAATTAAAACACACACACACACACACAAAACCATTAAGCCCCTCCCAAGTATTCCCCCCCACTTCAAAATCCTTTTTCATTAGTATGTTTACAAAGTACGATTAAAAACACAGTAAATGGGGCCAGGGATTTAGTTCAGTGGTGGTCCTGACTTTGATCCCCAGTACCCCCCCACAAACCTCAAAACACACTGAATGCTGTTGCCGAGCACCATCCAAAGGAAAAGACAGGGGTGGGGGATTTAGCTCAGTGGCAGCACCCCTGTCTCAAAAGTGCAAGGTCCTGAGTTCAATCCCCAGTACAAACAAACAAACACTACAAAGAAAAGACAGGCTTGTAGAAACATCATTTACTTTATTAACCAGATCTGGCAACACAAGGCTTCTGGCTCTTCCCCAGAGACATTAAGGCAGCCATAACAATGTAACTAAAAACATGAAAAAGGACTTCCAGAACTGCTTCAGAAAGTGGCAAAAATGATGGGATTAGTGTGTTTGAAGTGAGGGGGATTAATGGAAATACATCTTTTACTGCAAAAATGTTAATATTCACCATATTTTTCAGTAATACCTTGCATAATCAGGAAGGAACCTAATAAAAAAACTTCAATTTTTTCATGGTACTAATGACCTAAACTCCTTCCAACCCATGCTAGTTTGAGTAGTGAGGGCTTTGGGACTCTGGCACAAAGCTAGCACCTACAAGAAACCTGCTCTGAGCACCAAAGGCCTTGGACCTGAGCACCCCAACCACAAGCTCCAGAAGGACCTTTGTGGTCACTGAAAGTCATCAGGGCCCATCTTCCATATGGCCGCAAACCTCCTGTTGGGTTCTGAGCAGGATCAGCACAGAGGCCCCAGGACACTGTTTACTCACCTGTTCATCAGAGCCTCCAGAAGCAAAATACTCCCCAGTTCTTGAAAAGGCAACAGTGATGGCAGGTCCCTAACAGAACAAACAAACAAAAAAATACAATAGGTCATCTAGAGTCTAAATACACAGGAAAATGAGCAGTTCCTGAATGATGATAGCCAGGGAACAAAGGACTGAGCACTCACTCAGCTTCCAGTCCTCCCCATCCTTGGTTCTAGAAGCTTGTGTGTGGCTAAGTGTAAGTACCACCGTGGAGACCTCCAGACTATGAGGTTACAGATGGGCAAAAGTGAGTGAACATGATAGCACATGCTGACAGTTGTGGCTTTATCTTTATGCTCACATCCACAACAAGAAGTTAGAGGATGGAGAGATGCATTGACTTGCTCCAGGCCACAGCACTGGGACCAGAACTTACCTCTCTGACTCAAGACTATGTTTTTCCCCCAAAGAAACTCCACTGCTGACCAGAGAAGTGGAAGCCCCAAGGAAGAACCAATGGCTAATGTGAACAGGACACAGTCAGGGCCCCAGGAGGCAGGTAAGAAGCTGGGGTGGGCATTACTGCAGGTGTCTGGGCAGTGGACCAATATGACACATTCCTGCATTATGCATGCCACTTGATTGTGTTTGGGCCTTGGGGAGAACAGTATCCACTCTAGCTGTAAGGCTCACATACCATGCAGCACTTGGAAGGCCAATGAGCATGTCTTGGCTGGGAGGAGAGCATGATCTCCTGACAGAGAAACATGTTTCTTCTCTCCTCGCCTGAAATCCATTCTAGAAAGATACATCAAGAGTCCTTCTGGCCACAAGATTATAGCCACAACTATCTTTCTCCAGTTGAACCTTTATTATAGCAGTACCCGGCATTCTCTAAGCAAAACTAAATAAGAGGTTCTTAGATGAGGACAGCATAGCCACTGTCACAAAGGCCACTTCAGTTCCACCAGGCCAGTGCAGGGAATGAATGGCAAGAGTCCCTTGCCCATGAGAAGAGCTTCCAGCAGCAAAGCCTCAGCTAGAGACGAGAGGAACACTGGGAAGCAACTTTCCACTCAATGCCAGAAAAGACCACTTATGGCTTGGGCCAAAAAGGGATGTCAAAGCCAGAGACCAAGGCAGTTTCTGCTTCTCCAGGAGAGACAGGCAAGTGAAGCGATGCCACCCTGGCTCAGGCACATGGGACAGGAGAGCACATGCCTACCCATCCTTCCAAAATCCACCTACAGCTCTTCCTCTCAGAGGTACTCATAATGGAGTTAACAAGGAAGAGTGCAAACTGCAGCTAACAGTGGCTCAGGGCACTTCACCTGCATTAATCCACTTAATCCTCTGAGGACAATATGCGCATTTACTCTTCCAAGTGGAGGGAACAAAGCCCAGGGGACACAAAGCCTCCAGCCTGTGCTTGCTTGTCACCCCCCTTTTCTCCACCCAGGTGGAGCCTCAAGCCCAGACATGCCCTGCCTCCAGGAGTCCCAGGAATCCTACGCTGCCATTAACCCGGATAAAGTAGATCCACTTTTACTAAAGGGGAACAATGCCTAGGAACAGCTAGTGTGAAACACCAGGTGCAAGACATTGCAGGCCACAGGATGTCATTTGCGCAATACCAGCTGCACGCGCAGAGGATGAGTGTAGAGTGGGGACAGGGCTGAGTCACTCAGATATCCCTCCAGGTAGATAGTCAGCAAGAGGTTAACAGGCCCTACTGAGGAAGGTGGTGCAATTTCAGACAGCCTTTACTTGATTCTGGAAATATTTGCTGTTTTCACACTTTGAATCTTTAATAAGTATATAGCATTACTACAATATAAAAATAAAACAATAAAATGATTTTGAGGAAAAACAGGAAACAAAGAAAAGAGAAGGAAGTTTCAAAAAAGATAGACCCTTTCCCTCCCCAGAGCTTGCTGAGTAATGGCAGGTTTATAAGAAGGCACAGCAACTAAGGGACCAAATAAATACTTGCAAGTCATTTTACTTTCCTGTAATTGCTCAACCACCAGATGCCAATCTGGGATCAAGATGTCAGAGGCAAAGCAGTGACAACAGCAGGACAGGGACCAGACAGCACGTATTAGGAGTCCTCCAGGTCAAGAACGATGGTGCTTTCCCCAGGACCAAGTTTCAGAAAACTCAGGAGTGGGCAAGTGACCAGCATGCCATGTAAGGCCTGCAGTCTGCCCAAGCAGGGCCCATTTACCAGGAGGACCTCAAAGTTCCTCCACCAGCACCTCTGCATTCCTGCAAAGAACAACCTTCCAAGGAGGCTCCTGCTCATCATCCCATTACCCTCACAAGCACCCGAGGAATCAAAGGACAGCATGCACAACAGTGGTCCCATGAAAGCATATAACCTAACAACATGGCCCTCTTGGTTTATATAAGCACATACTCATGCTATGATGTTTTCCCAATGATGCATTTTTCAGACTATGGCCTTGTTGGGAGGCACAACATGACTGTAGATTGAACTCTCTAGCATTGATATGCTTTGAGGTTTGGCCTATGAGGGCCTAGGCAACCTCATCCAGGCTATCCTGGCCAGGGCCTCTCCTTGTCCCCTCACCAACACTCCATCCAACCGGCCTCAGTGCTCCTCCTCTGATGATTAGTCAGAAAGCTCTTCTTTCTCTGTGCTTTCTTTCTATAGATCCTATACCAAGTTCTTAATTCAATGATTTTCAATCTTTCTTCATTTTAAATAAATCCATTTAAGGCCACAAATGTGCCTCTGATGACTACCTTAGATAGGCCCCAAAAGTTTCCCAGCACTCAGAGCCCATGGTGATTAGATTGTAGTGTGACTTTCCCCAGCAGCCATCTATTCTCCTCACCTTCCTGCTGGATTCAGAGGCAGCCTGCATGCCTGAGTTTTGACTGCTGGACCACAGCAGCCATGGTGGCAAAAGTTCAGCCAGGTACTGCCACCTCCCACCTTGTAAGAGCTGTGAAATGTTTGACTCTCATGTACCCAGCATGCCACCAAACAAATAAGACTGCATCACATGCCCTTGAGTCAGAAGGAAAAGCAGAGTGGCCATCAAACAGACACAAAGACTGAAGGGGGCCCAAGAGGCCTCTGAGCCCAATGCTCAGGTAGAGAAACTACAGCCCAGCCCACTGGGCTGCTTCTTCCATAAATCCCCACTGGGAGCTCCAGCACACACTTGCCAGCATCTGCTGTGGGCTGGGCTCCTGTGTCTGAGTGTTGGTCCCCAGGGTCATCACAGTCCAGTGGACCAGCGTGGCCTCTGTGGAAGAGGTGCTGCCTGGGGAGTGAGACTCTTCCAACCCTAGCTCAAGACACCTGCTCCCAGCTCTCAACTCTGGGTTGCTGGCAGGGCCTGACTGACATAAATAAGCATTCTCTTTCCTTATCTCCCAAAAGGAGCCAACCATCCAAGCTCAACATGAACTTCCTATTGTGTCAAAATAATCAAGCCAGGAATTTAGATCAGTGGCACCATGTCTGCCTCACAAGCACAAGGTCCTGGTCCCCGATAGAAGAAAAAGAAAAAAAGAAAAAAAATCCTCCCAGCCAGGTGTGGTAATGGTAAGCCTATAATCCCAGTACTTGGGAGGCTGGGGCAAGAGGATCACCAAGAGTTTGAGGCCAGCCTGGGCTACTAGTGAGTTCAAGGCAAGACTGCACTACACAGTGAGACCTTGTCTCAAAAAAATCAACACACACACAAAAAAACCCCAAAATAATCTTACAAAATGAAATGACTGGACAAGAGCCACAGGGTCCTCACAGAGGGAGTGGCACATTCTGAGAGTCTCTTCAGCCTGCAGCAGCCGTAGGGGCAGCCCACATTCCTAGAACTCTCATACTGCTGCCTCCCCTCCTCAACATTGAGCCCCCTTTGTTGCCACTTTCCCAGGCCTGGCCTTGGGCCTGGCATGGTACAAGCACCTAGGAAACGCCCATCAGTCCCCTACTCAAAGCCTGAGTGCTCACCACTGAGCAGTTAGCAGCCCCTGTGTGGGTCTGGGCTCACAGCAAGGCTGCTCACCCTCACTGTGGTCCAGCTGGGGTGCCCAGAATCACATGCAGCTCAGTCACTACAGCGACACACTTACCAACTGCACAGCCACCAACACCAGATTTAACTCCCTGCCCACAGGCCACCCACCATCTTCTCCCAAATAGCTCTAGGGGATTTAAACCAAAGGAGCACGTCTCAAGATTGCATTTCAGAAAGAACAGAAAAATACATCTGTATTTCTAGCATCTTGCCCTACACCTGCCACATAGAGCTGTGAGAGGGCCTTGCTTAGGGCATGAGCTTTCAAGCGATAGCTACCTTTGGTAGAAAGCCTTCCCTCTCCTGCCCATGTTCCCATCCATAAAATGAGGTAGTGCGCCACGACTCAGCTCCCTTGCAGCTGACATCCCCACATCTGCTTTACATCCGGTCAGAAGCAGGATCCTCCTTTCTTCCTGCTTAACTGTCCCCACCATGGTTTCCTGATGCCCACATATGAGTGTGTCCTCTAGGAGTGAGGCCCTGAAGAGGACGACTCAATGAAGGAATGGGAAGAAAGGGCTTTGCCAATGCACCTAGAGACCAAAGCAGCAGGCCAGGGGGCCCACTAAAGGTTGGCAGGGACAAGCGCCTTTGAGTCAAGGGAGTTGCCTCAGCCCACTTATTGGGGGATGACTTCAGGAGCTGTGTGACAAGAAGACAAAACAAATTTTTGGGAGGAGATGACAACAACTCTTAAGAAAACTACAAAGCCAGAGAAACTCCTGAGACTGTGGGTGCATGCGAGGAGGGGGAATCAGGCAGGCTCCATCTCAGCAGGAGAAGCTGACAGCCAAGCCCTGTGCCCAACAACGGGGTGACTATCTTCAGACTCATTTTCCTAAACATTGACTGCCCACCCACTCCACCCACAGTGCCAGGACCATGGTCTTAAAAGGCTTTTTTAAAAAAAAAATCACTCACCTAAAGCAGCACTGTATCATTTTCTAAGAACTTCAGCAGACGGGGAACTAACAACTGTGTGGACCTACTGTGTGCTGTGCTGTGCTGGGCCAACTACACACAGCCCCTCCC